CCCCAAAACCCCAAAACCCCAAAACCCCAAAACCCCTAAAGTAGATAGGTGACTTGAAATATACCAATATGATCTGGTGATCTTGTTATTATTCCAATGTTGTTAGCTTCTCTATCCTTTGAAGCTTTTATATGATCGCTAAAATATTAAATGTAGACTAGCTCTATACTTAGACTTTGATCTGGAGATGGAAGTATCCACTTTATTTTCATAAACTTTTCAAACATTTCATTACATGGGTGAATAATTTCTATCCGAAAAAATAAACCAAGATATTCTTCAATCGTGAAGAGTAAGTCTTTATTTTTTAGGAAATGTCTATTAGAGACCTCTTCATATTTAAATTAGTATACTAATTAATAGGCCACTCGGAGAACACTACAGCATCATAGGATGCTGTTTAATATTATTAACGAAGTAGGTGACAGTCGTATTTTTTACTATTCAATTTTGCTTAAATCTCCCAAGGGGGTGCATTATCGAGCTATTGTCTATATAGAATTCTTTCTAAACACGCTTAGTTTCTTCCAAAAGCTCTCTAAAGTTCATCAAAACTGCAAGCTCAATGGATTTTATGAACATTAAGATGAGGGGTCTCTTCTATAAAAGATTTCGTGCCAACAACCTAAGGTATATAATAACTTTGAAATTAAGTAAATTATCAACTAGGACTTATATCTATCCAGACGATGATTAATCATCAAAGCGTGACTACGAGCTCAGTGAAATCGGGGCTCATCGAAAACAATTTTTACACTTTTCTTCAAAATTATTAAAAGTTCAAAGCGACTGGAGTAATTTAAATCAAACTTTCAGCCTCACATTTCTTGGCCTACCATGACCGAGTTTTGAGACCGCTTCCAGAATTGGAAAACAAAACAGAGTTATCATAAGACTCCTTGATTGTCTTGGGATTTTATACTCTTTAGATAGCAGCAATGAAACTTTCATACAAAAACGGGCAAGAATGGTGGCTATCTTCTATAGATAAAAATTATCACTTTCTCTGAACAAAAGGGAGTATTTGAAGAATAATTAGTTTATGCTATGCAATTTTTATGCTGTCCCTTATGAACGGCTTTTTATCAACAGTCTCTTTGAGTGATATTATAAATGAAGGTTGTTCGTTTGCTTATTCAGAACCGAATATTTTCGAAGAGAAATATTAATCGACATTGAGCTCACTCAAAACATGCTTGTAATTATACTAGAGCAATTAGCACAACTAGGATCCATAAAAGATGAATTCTCAGAAGCTTTATGATGATCTATCTCCTTTTTAAACATCCGAAGGAAGATTGAATATTCATTTGAAGAATCAGGATGCATATAACAGCATGCGACAGCTAAATTATCGAAATTTCTAGAAGAATTTAGAAGCTATCCAAATATTTTGGTGATGTTTTAGAAATTATTAGAACTTTAATTAGCAGACTTGCAAATGTTTCAAACGACCTTAAAACACTCACTTTTAGATTGGACTGTATTATTGAATTCATATCCAAGTTTTACTTATGAAGCTTCTAATTGGACTGGAACCTCTGTAATAAAAATATGAATTCACATATTCAATCAGAACATGCCCCCTTCTCCTCAACCCTCTTCTAATTGTCTAAACCATATGTACCCAGCCAAAGATTCTTGAATAAAAATGTCTATCTCAAAGAGCGTTTATAGAACAATTTTAGTAGAAGTAATTATTAGAAGTGGATATCGTAAGACTCATGGGCCTTTTATAATTAGTAAGGCAAGGCCCATGGTCATTTGATATCCAAGCTCTGAGTTTAAAGCATTATAAGCTTATGCTTAATCTCAAAATCGGTAATTGATGTTTACTGACTTCCTTCACCAGTGCTTTCGCTGCATCTGCACTTGACAATTCTGGCTTTCTTGTTGGCGATATAGGTCACCTTGAGAGGAGTGGCTTTCTCAAGGTCTTCAAATGTGAATGCGTTGAGTTTCTTCATCACAGATATAACTTTAAAGTCAGTTGACTTTGATTTTCTGCTTGCTGGTCTTACAAATTCCATTTTAATATTTTATTATTTAATAACTAAATTCTTTTCTTAAATAATCATACTCTCTCAAAAGTAAGTTATTAACTTGGGGTTTTGGGGTTTTGGGGTTTTGGGG